AACGGTGCGGATCCACTTGTCCGTGCGACACTTCAGTCGCACCGCACTCCACTTTATTCCTATGGGTGACGTCACGCGACTTTAACGCGCCCGCAAAGCATCCCGGGAAGGCGGCGCTTCATTTGGAAAAATGCTGCGCGTCAAAAAGCTGGCCGATGCTCATCTTTATGCAAATGAATCCGTCAAACGCGACGCGTCTATCCAATAGAAGTAGTCTCTCGAGGGGCCTTTGTTCTAGACTGGCTGCTGGGTCAAAACCACGCCCATAGCGGTAAACTTGAGGAACGCCCATCAACTTACAAATGTGGAGAGGCGTGCGACACCACGCTTCAGTCGTGTCGCAAAAGTGGATCAGTACCGTTACCCCATACATAGGTAGCTCTTGCGACCCGCAGCCTGCATACCATGCCGGAGGGAAAACGGAAGTGAAAGGACATCTCCGCGGTTTTAAAGGGGCCGTGAGCTTAACTCCCACCCAGCTCCATCCACACACACAGAATGCCCCCCCCCCCCCCCCAAAAGGGTCACCCCATTACAAACACATTAACTTTGGGAGCCATAACATACTAAAACTAAAATAAAAACTAAATAAACTGAAACTAAGAAAACTCTGACAGCCTCAGGACTAAAATATATCTGTATATGAAAATAAAAGAATGTGTATTAAAATGATGATCTGCCATCCATTTTCTGTTCACTTAGTGTTGTTCACATACTGTACATATCACTTAAAACAACAAAATATAACTTTTTTACAGTGATGTATCGTTATCATCATGTTCCAGCGGGACTGATGCCTGCACGACTGGAGGCTGATTATGATTCTGACAGTAGTTCTCCAGCAGTGACGATTCGGACCGTCTTTCCAGAAACGTGGATCTGGGAACTTGCTGAAGTGGGGTATGTGAAGCATTAAGCATAATCAGTGCATCTTATTACTCCTCTTTAAAACATCATCTCCCCTCACACCCACTGGACACAAAATACCTTGCTTGCTTTGCAGATTCTGAATCCAGTTATTTTATCATCTGTGTGCTGAATGTTGTTATTTAATACAGGAAAAATGGCAGAGTCAGAATCAAATATGCCTATTGTTGTAATTCCTCCGCAGGGACTCTGGATCAGCTCAGGTTCCTGTCACGGTTCCTGACACCATCACCTCTTGGGAGACGGAGGTCTTCTGTCTGTCCTCTGAAGGTCTGGGTCTCGCTCCTCCTGCTCAGCTGACAGTTTTCCAGCCCTTCTTCCTGGAGCTCTCTCTGCCTTACTCCATCATCCGTGGGGAGATCTTTGAGCTGAAGGCCACTGTCTTTAACTATCTGTCCAAGTGCATCATGGTGAGATTTCAGACTCAGTCTAATCAAATCATATCAAATATGCCACTAATCATGTGTGGTTGATTGACAGGTTAAAGTGACTCCAGCTCCGTCCTCAGACTACACTCTCAAAGCCTCCTCTGATGATCAGTATTCATCCTGTCTATGTGCTAATGGGAGAAAAACCTTTAAATGGACCCTCACTCCTTCGGTTCTTGGTGAGTTTTCCAGTCTGAATCATTGTTTCTCAGTGTTTGTGTCTGTTGTATCTTCACGTACATGTCTTGTGTTGTAGGAGTCTTGAATATTACTGTCAGTGCAGAGGCAGAGGCGTCCCAGACTGTGTGTGACAATGAGATTGTGAGCGTCCCAGAGAGAGGACGCATTGACACGGTCACACGAAGTCTGCTTGTACAGGTCAGCGCACGTCAAATGTCTCTTAGATATCATTTACCCTTTATCATAATGCTTATGTCAGTATGATGTGTTGATGTGATTGTTTTATGCTGCAGGCGGAAGGAACTGAAAAGACAGAGACTCAAAGCTGGTTATTGTGTCCAAAGGGTTTGTCCACAGATTTTTTTATATATAGATTTAAAATGTATATTTAATTTTTATGTTATTTAATATTAAACCATAGTGTTACTCTGCTGATCACTGATATGTGTTTCTGTCTGTCTGGTTTGTAGGTGACAGTCTCTCAGAGGAAGTGGCTCTGACTCTCCCTAAAGATGTGATAGAGGGATCAGCCAGATCCTCTGTTTCAGTCATTGGTAAAATTTACAAATACAAGCAGAAATGAGGAGATTGGGTTTGGATTTATAAAATGTAGTTTCATTTGTGTATGGTTTATAGGAGATATATTGGGTCGTGCACTGAGGAATCTTCACGGATTATTACGGATGCCGTACGGCTGTGGAGAGCAAAACATGGCTGTTCTTTCTCCCAATATTTACATTCTGCAGTATCTGGAGAACACAGAGCAGCTCACCTCAGCCATCCGAGAGAGAGCCACAGGCTTCCTGAAGAGCGGTGAGAGACATAAATCATGTCAAGGAAATACTGAGATTGTTTGATAGCAAATTATACATTTTTCAACACAACTGAATTTCATTCAGTAAAGTTGAATAATCAGACACATTGAGTCAACCCAAACAAACTGTTGAAGTGTTAACCATTATTACACCAAACAGGATACCAGAGACAAATGAACTACAAGCATTTGGATGGATCTTACAGCACATTTGGTTATGGTGAAGGAAATACATGGTAAATATATTTTCACTATTACTTTTGTTAAACAAAAATAATATCAAGGTAATCTACAATAATAAACCCAAGAGAATAGTACAAAAAACACATTTAAAAATGTGTCTCAGTTCAAATTATTTGTTTTGAGATTTATGATGGTGAATCATTAAAACACCTTATGACATTTCTTCCACACCACCAGGTTGACTGCCTTTGTCTTGAGGTCTTTTGGCAGAGCACAGAAATACATATTTATTGATCCAGAAATTATCCAGGGTGCAAAGAATTGGTTAATAAGTAGACGGGATTCAGACGGCTGTTTTATCCAACAGGGAAGCTTGTTCAACAACAGAATGAAGGTCTGTCAACTTCAATCCATATCTCTCTATCTCTCTATCCAGAACACCATAGCAAAAATGGTCTAGTAACTATCTAAAAAGCCTGGAATCTAAGACCTGTAAAAGTTTGAGCTTTTTTAAAACATTAAGACGTTCTCAAGCCAACATCAAAGTTTGTCTAGATAAACTTTCCTTTAATAGTTTGTGGTCGATTGTTTCTTCTTTCACACCTGACTTAAGTCTACAGTACCTGGGTCTACAGTCAGTCGACGTCGACGTTAGTTTCGCTGTATCTGGGTCTTGTCTACAATCGTCATCCCCGTTCAGTAATATTTATACTCTAGCGCGTCTCCTCATCGACACTGGCCGAGTCCCCTAACCCTAACGTGCTGCGCAGCAATAACTAAACAGACAGACTTCAGACAATGCCTTTGACCATTCTTTAATCACGGCTGGAGGATCTCAGACAAATATCAGAGAGAATCCCACCCACAAAAGGAATACAACAGTTTTTATAGAAATAGGAGCTTGGCCAAAATGACATGATACATTACATAACTCCCCTACAATTTGATTAGATCTCAAATCATTAGAAAAATAGAAAAGGGTTAGAAGTTCATTTGATTATTCAATATGTCATTAAACTAAGACAGTATATTTTTTATATTGTCTAGCCAGCATCTCAGAAGTTTCCACTGGTTTCAAGACAAACTTCCGAGTACAATTTGTTCAAGTGGTAGAATGTTAGGCCTAAAGGAGAAATAAGTTTAGATAATAGAGTTATGATTAGCTTGATAAACAGTTTACTATTTTATTCATTAAAAAATCACAAGTTTGAGTGTGTTGCTTTATTTATCCTTCATTTCTCATATATTCCAGGGTGGAGTGAATGATAATGTGACCATGACTGCCTACATTACTGCATCATTGCTTGAACTGGAAACTCCAGTCACAGTAAGTTCATCTTCAGGAAACACAGTATAAACTCATAGAAAAATGACACTCACAGTGTCTGTTTCTCTGTTTTTGTCACAGGATCCTGTCGTCAGTAAAGGTTTGTCATGCTTGAGGTCCGTCATTGAGGATGTCAAAAACATTTACACCACTGCTCTGCTCGCCTACACTTTCAGTCTGGCTAAAGACACGGACACTCGACAGCAGCTTTTCAAGAAACTGGAGGATGTTGCTATTTCAGACGGTAAGAGGTTTGTTTCTGATGACTTTCTGTTGTCTATTATGGCTGTCCTATTTTTGTTTTTTATCATGCTCATTGAGTTAGGCGTGTGTCTTTTGTCCTCAAGGGTCTCTTCTCCACTGGTCTCAGTCTGCATCTGCTGATGACTCTGATTCTCTGGCAGTGGAGATCAGCTCATATGTGCTGCTAGCTGTTCTCTCTGCAGATTCAGTCACTACAGCTGATCTGGGCTATGCTAACAGGATTGTCAGTTGGCTTGTGAAGCAGCAGAATGCCTATGGAGGATTCTCCTCCACACAGGTTACTCAAACTACTCCAATCAAACACATTATTACCGGTGTGAATGAGTAAAAGTGACATTACTGAACACAATTATTTCCCAGGACACAGTGGTGGCTCTTCAGGCTCTGTCTTTGTACGCCACCAAAGTGTTCAGCTCTGCCGGCTCCAGCACAGTGACTGTACAGTCAGCAGGAGACACTCACCACTTTGATGTCAATCAGGACAACAAGTTACTGTACCAGGAGAAGCAGCTGCAGACCGTTCCAGCCAAATACAGCATTGAAGTGAAGGGCTCAACCTGTGTGTCTGTGCAGGTCTGTAGTGCGTTCAGCTTCATTTACTCACACTCCCTTTCTCTCTTGGCATTGTGGTTACTCTGCTGTGAGATGAATTATGAATATGTTTGTGTTGACTATCTCAGATGGCTCAGTTCTACAACATTCCCACTCCTACTGAAGCTAAAACATTGAGCATTGACGCTAAGATTGAGGGAGATTGCAAGAAAACCTTTGGACAGTCTCTATTGTTAAATTTCACTGTGAAGTAAGAACAATAACTTTATGCTATAAGACATGATTTTGTTTGTGGCTTTAGTTCAGTCAACATGAGCTCTGATAGTTCATATTTATTTTTTCCAGATATGATGGTCCACAGGAAAGGACTAACATGGTCATTGTGGATATTAAACTCCTATCTGGATTCACAGCTGATACATCAATGGTACGTTTGACTATGTGAAGCGATTCATTATTAGATTTACTGTACTATCTCTGTGAATCTACTGTATGGTCTCTGTGAATCTACTGTACTGTCTCTGTGAATCTACTGTACGGTCTCTGTGAATCTACTGTACGGTCTCTGTGAATCTACTGTACTATCTCTGTGAATCTACTGTATGGTCTCTGTGAATCTATACTGTACTGTCTCTGTGAATCTACTGTGTCTCTGTGAATCTACTGTAAGATGGTGCAGCTATGGCCAATATTGTCCTCCTCACTTCTTGTTGAACAGCATGATAGCTTACAGAAAATAGCTCTCCAGTTGTGCATTGTAACAAATCATACCTTTTTTTTTAAATCACTTTTTCCACAGCTTAAAACTCAAAGCACTTCAAGCGCATCACTTGTGGAACGGGTCGATTCTAAAGATGATCATGTCATCGTGTATTTGAAAGAGGTGGGAGAACAGCAACATTCATATGATAAGTTACAGTGATTCCTTCACATTTTATCTAAAATTTTCAATCATTTCCATGATTTATGTTTATCCTCCTGCAGGTTCCAAAAAATATTCCTGTCAGTCACCAGTTACAATTAAAACAGATTGTTCCAGTGAAGAATCTCAAGCCAGCTGTGATTAAAGTGTATGATTATTACCAAACAAGTAAGATTTTATGTGCCTTTTAAAAAATAAAAAATAAATAATATGTGATTCAAAAGTATCAGTTGGCATTAAGCTAATTTCTCATTATCAACATTTCCCTCAGGTGATCTGTCAGAGACTGAGTATTCATCCCACTGTGAGTGAAGTGTCATGCCTCAGTTCTGCAGCTCGGATAAATATATTTGAATGCTAAATGTTTTTATTCAGTGTTTATTCCTTTTTCTAGGCAAATTAGTTTCCTGATTAGCCTTTGTTTTATTAAACCCAAACAACCTGAAAACACTTTGGTGAGATTATTGTATTTTTGTTATTGAGTTGCTTACATACTATGGAAATATTTCAGTGTCAGATTAGATATTTTTCCTTGAGACAGTCTAGGTGCATCCCAATTCACATAATTATGCACTATTCTAAGCCATTTTATAGTTTAAATAGAATGAGTAGTTTGTTCACACTGAAAATTTCAACAAGAAATAGTGCACTTTAAATGGATGATGCACTTTAATAACCAAAAAAAAAAAAAAAATGATTGAGTACATACAGTATTGTATAAGTGCATAGTATATAGTACTGTACGTAATTTGGGACACAGCTACTGGCACAAGAATACATTTTCAATACATTCTAACAGGGCCGTCGCTAGTGGGGTGAAAGGTGGTGACAATTATAGGGGCCCCCGCTGCCCAGGGGGCCCCACAAAATCCAGCAGTTATACTATTTAGGCCCCTGTTGTATGAATAATTCTAATATTTATATTAGTTGTATGCCTGAGATTTAAATGAAAACCACAAAAACGTGCAATTTGGGTAAATATTTTTCCAAATATCTGCTTCTCTTACCTCCATAAAAATGGTTTAGTCCGACCTAAAGTATTTATTAATTATTCAGTCAGAGTCAGTGACAAACATCAGATGGACCCAATAATATTGTAAGTCCCACCCCAGGTCATGAACAGAACCAATCAGAGTTGAGGCGGCAGCCTGAAGTTAACGATGAACTTGGTGGAAGAGCAGGAGACTGACTGACTGAAAAATGTCGGGGAAAAGAAAACATAAATCAGGGAACCAGAAATGCCAGGAAAAGACGGAGAGGGAGGCAAGGAGAGTGGTTGTATCCCAGTCGATCAACACGTTCTTAAAGACCGGTAATATATTGTTATTTCGCTGGGAATTAGAAAACTTGCGTCTACAGTCTGCCGTGTACAGTCATTTTTTATTATCGGTGCGCACCGCAATCGACCGAATGATTACGTGGTCTAATTCCTGTCTTTTTACACTGGGAGGGGGAATATTACTTTTTAAAAATTGGTTTTATTATTATTTAACAATTTCTTGCTTTTTGTTAGTTTTTATTAGTTGTAATTTTTATATAAACATTTAACTTTTAAAATAAAGGTTTTACAACAACATCACCATCTTCTGTTATATGTGGGCCTCTATGTTCATCTATTGTACAGTATATGATATTGGTGGAGGGTGGTGGGGGCCCACATCAATATTTTTTCAGGGGGCCCCGAATCCTCTAGCTACGGCCCTGCATTCTAATGCTAAAGAGATTATGCAATTACAGGAATGGGGTTAAGATCCATGACAGCGGAGACCTCTGGGAGTCAGTGAATGTACTGCAGAAATCTGTTTAAAGGGATATATAAAACAGAAATGTTCTTTTAAATTTTTTTGTTGTTGACATTTCTGATTACTTGAAAGAACATGAATGATGTGTTAAGCATTAGATAATTGGGTAATGTTAGATAATTCTCATTTATGCTCCATTTATGAATTTGCACTCATGAAAATATTCCTATTATTGAATTAGGTGTCATGAAATATAACGCTATCATCTGTGACAGCACTAGGCTGTATAAAAAAAACAGCCTAGTTTTGGATGTATTTTGGCATTAAAGAGTACTGTACATCAGGGATTTTCAGTCTTTTCAGACACATGGACCTCACCACACTCTCAAGCAACCCTGGGACCCCTAATATATATATATATATATATATATATATATATATATATATAAACTTGATTTTCTAATTAACTTGGTAATATCTGATTGCTGTTTGCAAGAAAAACTGCAATCAGATATTACCAAGTTAATTAGAAAATCAAGTTTTTTATATATATATACTGTATATATATTAGGGGTCCCAGGGTTGCTTGAGAGTGTGGTGAGGTCCATGTGTCTGAAAAGACTGAAAATCCCTGATGTACAGTATTCTTTAATGCCAAAATACATCCAAAACAGGTTAAAAACCAGAAGATAGATCCAAAATACTAATCTAGGATTCACAGTGGAGATAAACAGAACAAGGTTCAAAATAACCACTAAACCAATACAAGAACGATTGCTCAGAATTGCAGGGACACTGCTAGACCTCGCAAAGATGAGAGCAATGAGTATGGAAGCCAGACTATTTTTCCAGAGATAAAGTACATTTTCAGGAGAATAAAGGTAATGACATGACAAAAAAACAGTGCTATAATAATTAAAATGTACTGTAGCAATATTTACATTTACATTTAATAATTTAGCAGACTATTTTATCAATAGCAACTTGCAACTGAGTAGAACAATAGAAGCAATCAGACCAACAATAGGGCAACAATATTCAAGTGTTAGTCCATGAAATATTATAGCAAATAATCTCAGGTAGCAGGAAGTGTCTTGCATATTACACAACAGATTTTAGGTGACTTTCAGTAGCCATGTTTAGTCGTATTGTGAAGGCAGAGAATTTACAAAAGCAAACACCAGCTTACAGTATCTCTCCCTCTCAGTTTGAGTGGGTGGGTGCATGTATGTGCACTGGATGTTAATTATCAGTTGTCTTGCCCCACTGTTTGTCTACGAGTTAAAGGTCAGTAGCTCTACATTTCTCTGTAGATGAGGAAAAGAGTAGGAGTTTGTTTTCAGATCACATGTACACTTATATACTTTAAAGATCTGAGTTGATTTCTTGCATGTTATTGACTACTAAGAACTGAACTTCCCAACTTCCCTTTTGACTGCAGATATTACGATTTTGACTATTTAGATTTACAAGCTTGGATATTCCAACACGCAACCTTAAAGTTGTTCAACCCTGAATTATGCAGTCAGGGACATTCATAATGAATTTAATGTGTATTTTAATCTGTGAAGGAGTAAAGCAAAAGCATGTCTTGAACTGCTTGTATTTATCATTTATCAAACTCATCACAAATTAATTTTTGGGCAAAACAACAAATTGCATTTTAGCACAGGTTTTTGAACTGCATTGCCTACATGGTTGAATCATTAATCAGATGATCAATACAGATGTTTTGAAGGACCTCCTTTAGCTAGAGTCCCTTTAAAAGAGACGGTCCAGTTCATCTCATGACCTGCTGATCGCTCGTCATCATGACTCTGAATATCAGCTGCTGTTGGAAAGGGCTCCTTCTGCTCTCTTTCCTCCTGAACTGTGTCAATGGACAAACATCCGGGCCGTAAGTTTTTAAATAATTTCTGCTAAGGAAAGAGCTCGGAGATATGACCAAATATATGGGAGATATTGTAACATTTAAATATTCTAACTGAGTTGTATTAAAATTAACCATTGGTCTTCCACAATAGTATAGCCTACATTTAGATCATGATAACCACAGTTAACACCACAGATATAGCACCCCAATACCATGGTAAAATGCATAACTATGGTTTCTATGGTATTTGTATTTGTCTTTAGCCTAAATACACTAAGCATAAAAGCACAAGCTATAGCTTATTACAAAAAAATACTGTAGCGATCCGAGAAAATGATAGACTCAATTAATAGTTTTAAATTCTCTTTTATTAACGTGAGCACCTGCATGTACTAAAGTATCTAGCGAAGAGACTATCACTGTGCTGAGGAGTGCACAGCCATTATACTTTCAAAATATAATAATTATAGTCTTAATGGTATTTGGCCAATCGTCAACCTTATTCATTCACATTTAAATGGGAACATGTATGTGCAATATATGTACACAATAAAGGATACAATTTTGTGAATATTTTTTTTGTCATCATTTATGAACATTTTATATGCATTAATATATAGCCATGGTCAATGCATATATTGCAGTATATTGGAAAATATAAGCACTAGTTTCCCATATATGGTCCAGGAAATGTATTATGTAATACATTCATCACATTATATTTTGCAGGATATTCCCATGTATTTTTGGAGACCCTAAACAGCCCCAGTGTACACCCGCCTAAATGAACAGCACACAAGGGTTCGGCCTAAATAAAGATGTGAAATATATGAAAGTCTTTCTATCACGTTCTTTAGATCACACTTGAAACGAACAATCCACCTCAAATGGCAACTTATACATGTTCTTGTGCTGCTGGAAGAAGTCCTGGTTGTATTACTTTACAGCCCCTTTCACACAGCGCTTTGAACCCGGCAAATTGCCAGAGTGCCTTCTGTGTGAACGCAAACACGACCCGGGATTGATGCCGGGATCGATGCCGGGTTGGGGACCTAGTAACATTACCGTGTTCAGACCCGGAACGAGCGCTGTGTGAACCATAGACAGTAAAAGAAATGGACAGAGCGACCCCACTGATTTCAACGGAGAAGACTTGAAGCCCGATTATTGCACTTCCTGTCTGATGTCTGAGCGACTGCACAGGCTCAAACTGAGCGTGACGACAGTCTGGCAGTTGAAAATCTTCTAGTAGCTGTGCCAAGACAAATCTGAATCACCTAATTCCTCAAAAACGTTGTTGAAATATTTTGTCCCATTGCTTTTATAGACTCTCTATGTATGGGCTTCTACCTTGACTTTGTGCCGCCATGTCCTCCTGATTGCCTCATAGACAGTTAAAGATTGCCTGCGAGCTTCTCCTCCTGTCTATACGGTAATGTCTCTATTGTGCGACAGAAAGTCCCGTGGTTATGACGCAATCTTTAGCCTATTTTTAAAAAAACGGCTTCTACGGGGCCTTAACGTAAGATACAAAGTAATGGAACATTTTATACATTGTCTTTTTATACATTAGTTTCTTTAGAAATTAATAATGGACAAATGAAGTCTTTGGACGCCTCAGATGTAAAGTTATTCGCTGTCAAAGTGACGCCAAAATGAATGGGAGTCAATTGGATGCTAACAGCAGGTGATGGTCTGCTACAATGGCGGCTCCCGCGAGGCTTCAACTTCCGGCTGATGGATTACCCCCTTGGTGTGAACAAAAGCCAGAAGAACCAATGCCGTATAAGGGGTGTGTCGTAGTCATGATTCACGAGCCTTTGCAATGACGTA